ATATTCCGTTTAAAAAAAAAAAACACGTTCTTGTCATATAGTCAAGTTATGGAAAAACCTAAGTGCTCGAGGACAGAGGAGAAGATTAGGAAGATGGGGCATCTACACACAATGGAATTCTTTCCATTTGTAACAATATGGGTAGAACTGGAGGGGATAATGCCAAGAGAAATAAGTTAGTAGGAAAAGACATACCAGAATACAGAGAAACAAAACAAAGGGTCAGACAAGATGAATCCAATAACAAACCCTTGAAAGCTGATGGTGGAATTGAGGCTCTAAAGTGGGGGAGAGAAACAATGGGGAAGAGGGCACAACAGAACTATGGTGGAGGACTAGGGGTGCCCTTGGTAGTCATGTGAGGACATGCATCTGAGGAGGTGTGATCCCTAGCTTCTGAAACAACACTGTTGTAAACCAATGTTAACAGAAAAAAAAAAAAAAATCCTTGATAAAGCACCTAATTGTCTAAAGGATAAAATTCCAGCTCTTTGAAGTGTTTGACTATCTGATCATAAGTAAAACAGTCCTATCTTCTGTAGCTCCTCGTTCTCCTTTCTCTTCCATTGCTCAGAATTGCTCCATTTCTTAAATAAACCATGTTTCTTTCACCTTGTTTTGCACTCACTAGCACACATGCACTCACTAGTTCTACCCATCTCCTCTTCTCTGCTTGGCACACACCCTATATACCTCAAACCCTCTTCTGCTGCCTGCCATGAAGCCTTTGAAGCCTGTCCCAGTGCCACCATTACCGTATGAACACACCTCATCCCCTATTTCTTAATTAAGTTGATCTTTTCTATCAGAGTTCTTCAAGGCAGGATCCTAGCTCTAACTCCTCTGTCCCATTCAAATGTTAAGTCTTTGAGATTAGGCACTGTGCCTGTCTTATTCATCAATGCATCCTTAGCACAAAGCATGGTGTGGGGCACCGAGTTGGCACTCAACAGATGTCCTTTAAGTCAGTAAATGAATGGTTACTTTCAGATGCCAGAGAAACCAAAAATGGTCAGTAGTATCTCGTGTGACTAGGCTGCCTGAGGTTCAGCGCTTTTATCATTCCATTTAATTTCTTTTAGTTTTCCTCAAAACAAAGTGACTTTGGAAGACTTTGATAATTTAACCACTTCCCCAATCTGTTTCCCCTTTCCTGAGTGTTGCAAGCTTTTAGGCTGTCCTCATAGATATGTCATTACCACTGGTTGACTACTTAAAAGCACAGCTGCCCCTTGTTTGGCTGAGAGTGGTTTCCTAAGCCCATGCCTCAGATTGTCACGAACCCCACTGCTGTCTGGGGTGGACTGAAACGCCTACCTTTGACCTGTTATTTTAAGGTTGGAACTACCTTTGCCAAGCCCTTCTACAACACTGTCTGTGGTTAATCTTTTTGGATACATGGTCTCCGTGCTTGTCTGTCTTTTGACTGGGTGGTCTGAAAGAAATTTAATAGCATCTCTTAATGAGATTTTAGCATCTGTCATATTTGAGATGATAATGGCTTTTTCCATTTTTTAAAAAAAGATTTACTTATTTATTTATACAAGCACTGGATACAGTCAGAAGCGCGGGAGGGTTAAAGAATCCACCAGAGCCAGAGCGGGGAGCAGAACAGGCAGACCAATGAAATACACTGCTGAGGGGAGCAACGGGCATGGCAGGAGAGGTCTGCGCGCCATGTGGGACCCTCGCTGGCAGCTGGGGATCGAACCAGTGCTGCAGAGACTGCGGGTAGCTTCACAATCCAGTGCTCAACCGCTGTGCCACCAGGGAGGCTCGGCTTTTTCCATTTTTGTGACACTTCACTCAAACCATACATCCATCTTTGTTTGATTCCTCAAAAGATTTAGCATGTTATCACAATGTTTACAATAACTCAGTGAGTGAAAGTGTAGATACACACACTCACACACACACACACATACTTTGTATTAAGGATTTGGCCAGTCAAGTCTATTCTGTTATCCCTGTTGACATTTTTAAAGGACTCTGTTCTTCTGACCCCTATATTTTCTTCTTTATAATGGCTATTGGTTTCTCTCTGCTGTTGTCAATATTTGATCTTAATACTGTATATAAGCTCATGCACACATAATTGTTACTCCATTTATCAAACCTACTTAATGTGGCCAGACACTTTCTAGTTGCATAATTTTTAACTCTTATAACTACTCTACAGGATAGCTGTTGTTATCCACATTTTACAGATGAGGGAACTGAGGTTCAGAGGAGTAATATCTGAGCCAGGATTGATTGGCTGTGCTTCAAAGCCCATGTTCTTTTTACCACAGTATTCTGCCTCGCAATCAAAAGGCCTCACATAAAATGGTTGAAATTTTAAAAGGTTGAATAATCTCTATTTCTCCTAATATCCCAATTCTTACCCCAATAATCAAGGATCTGGATATAGGTTCTACCACCAAAAAAATTTTGTTCTTCTCTTTTTAGTAAGACAAAGAAGGATGCTTTTGTGTGTGCAGAGAATTTTGGGGTTCTGTTGCCTAGTGGCTTATACTTGTGTCACTTGTTCTCATAGATTTTCGAAAGCATTCAGGTCCTTCAGTCTCTAAAAAACACAAGGAGGACCCATTGCTATATTTGAAAGGATTTGAACAGATAACTGGAAGGTCAGTGTAACTGTTCCTCTGCTAACATCAGGAATGGTATTTGAAGGGAAAAAGGCCACTAGCTGCCAGCTCTTGTCTAACATGCATCTCTTACTAAAGCACAGTAAACATTTTTGAGAAATGATGAAGCTATCCACAGTGAAAGCAGCAGGTCTTTTCCTTTAGCCTCTGATTCAGCCGCCCAGCCTTCCTTTTATTTCTCTCGATACTGCTGTCCACACGCTGCTGGGCCTGAGGAGGTGGCAGGTGAAAGATACCAGGTAAAAAGAAAATGGGTCAAGCCAGAGAGCTTGTGTGCATGAGTGAAGGGGGTCCCCAAACTACAACACCCCTCTTCTATGCACAGAAAGCAAGGAGACTATCCAGTTTGCCCACAGGAGCAAGTGAGGAACATCAGTATGAGGGTCACAGCTGCCGTCCTGAACAGGGAGGCATGGCCAGAACTCACAGGAAGCAACTGCGACAAGGCAGAGACTGTCTCAGGGCTGGCCTGCTCCCAGCTATGCATTGGCATGCCAGGAGTAACAGTCATACCCCCTGAGAGGGCACATTTTTAATACCTCTCTCTGAGTTCTAGCCCCAAACAAGCATGGTCCCCTGAGAGCACAAATATGATGTTTCCAAAGGGGCATGAAGGAGTGGTAATGGGCCTAATTCCTTGACTTCTCTCTGTCTGAAATGGAAAGACAGTTGTTCCACCCCACTGACATCTGGATAGCACCTCTGGAGCCCTGAAGAGAGTGCCTGCCACTCCTCTGGTGATGCCCATACCCTCCTCCCATGTGGCATCAAGTAATTTCAGTTGCTTCTTTCACTCATTTGTATTCCAACTTTGTCTTTCCTTTAGTCTGTTAGAAATAAGTAGCTGTCTTCCTGCGGATAGCAGCCATTATTCTAGCTAACCCCCGACTCCTCCCACCTAGCTGTTACCCCAGAGCTGGTTCATCGTTTATTCTGGGAGCCCAGCAAATGTGTCCTGGAATAAGGGCCACCTCACTTACTTCTTGGAATGAAATGGATTGTATCTAGGTGTGTGGTACAACAAAGGGTTAAGTTAGATGCTGTTGGCTATGTTCTTCCTTTGATGTCTCCACCTCTCTCTACCTTTCATAAACTAGTGTTGGCTCCTTCCTTCTATCCTGTTCTTCTTTCCTCTGCATCCCTTCACCTCCTGTCCTCTGCTTGTGGTTGTCTCCACTTCTCCCATAGACCCTTGCTCCTGATGCCGGCTTTAACAGAGGGCCTTGCCACTCTGCTTTCCCTCTTCTTGCTTGATGCTAGGGCATTATTCTGGGTCCTAAGTGGCTGCTCCACTTTCCTAACCTTGTTCTTATGACCTGGGCACTCCTAGGTGTTCTGGGCAGGGTGGGGTTAGGGCTGAAACCCATTTCCACAGACACATTCTTATTTTATGTTCCTTTAACAACATATTCTCCAGGACAATGTTTCCCTCTCCACCCCTCTATATTTAAAAAAAAAAATTTTTTTGGCATGGAAGAACTGGGGTGTAGGCCAGACGTGGGGAAGGGTGAGAGGATTCACCAGAGACAGAGCAGGGAGCAGAACAGGCGGATCCACTGAAATACACTGCTGAGGGGAGCAGCAGGGAGACAGGAGAGGTCTGCTGTGCTATCTGCCCCTCTAGGTCTCACTCTTGGGTTCATAATCAGGGACCTCAAGTACCTCTTGTACAGGTGGAAACAGACCCTGGAAATCTTCAGAGGAGAGGTCTCAAGAGCACTTCCAAGAGCACAGAATTCTGTGCCCCAAACTGGACCTTCACTGCTTCCTGGCTGCAAGCTTCCAGAAAGGAAAGCAGGAAGAGCTGCTGCTGTCAGCGCGGCAGAGGAAGGGAAGTGGTGGGGGCCTGTCATCTTCATACAGTCTGTCCCCTGAGCAGCCACAGGAAGCCCCTGTGTGGGGCCATGGAGCTATGTTTGGGGTTGTATTGTAACTCCCTCAAAGCCTCCTGTACTCCAAGGGGGCGCCCACATTCAGATCAATGTAACACGGGGGACCACTGCGTGTCAATCCTAGTCGCTCTTTCAGCCTCAGTTTCCCTCTCTGCGTCGGGGCCACTACTTCTCAGGATAGGAAGGCATTGCAGGCTCAGTCACTTGAAGCTAGCCACGTCTGGGTTGGCAACTTTCGGTTCCCTGGCAGGCAGTGAGCCAGAAAGAGCAGAAGGAGGAGCCCCCCAAAGCTCTGGGAGCCTTTCTGGCAGGCTCTGTCCCGGTGCACAGGGCCAGAAAGAAGTGCAGGGCTGTCGGGCCGGAGGATGGGCAGTCGGTTTGCGCCCGGCCTGAGCCCGAGGGCGGTCAGGTGCAACAAGGGGGCGGGCGCTCGGGCCTCGGGCTGCGCGGCTGGAGCCCGCCGGCCGGCGGGGCATTTAAACCCCGCTGACTGCGGGTGGAGGACGCGCGCCCCGCTCTGCGCCCTCCGCCCAGACTCTCCGCCTCGGGTACCGGCTCGGCAAGATGAGGTCTTCCTTGGCTCCGGGTGTCTATTTCCTCCGCGCCTTCTCCAGGGACAGCTGGTGAGCAGGACCCGGGGAGGGAGGCGCCGGCCGCGAGCAGCTCCCCGAGGCCCTGAGCGTCCCGGGCGGGGAGTGCCGGTACCCAGCCCCAGCCTCCATCGGGAGGCCAGACTAGTTCGGTCAGGCGTCCCAGAGCGCTTTGGGGAGGATTCTGGGGGAATCTGATCTCGAGTTGCTTAGGTGAATTCAGGAGACGGGTGACCCAGGGGGAACCCGGACTTGCAGGCTAGGAAACTAAGGTGAGGGTCGTGGCGTCTCTGCAAATGAGACCACGGGGGTGTTGAGTGTCCCTTTGGCCTCCTTTAGCCTCATGACACAGACACCAGGACTCAGGGGTCCTGGAGCTTGTCTTGAGAGGTTACAGGCCCTGAGGACATCCCTGGGAAGGACATGCCTCTTGGCCAGGAGCTGGGGCTGCTCTCAGCTGGGTGTTACCACAGGGAGCCCGCTGGCCTTCACAGCCGATCCCCTGGCCAGGAGAGGCCTGAGGAGGCCACAGCGCGTGGGGGTGTGCGGTGGGGTGGAGAGGTTTCAGTTCACTTGCTGCAGCAGTTTGCTTGGTCTGCACAGGGTGTTTTTGAAAACTACATTTTTGAAAATTATCATTTACAAATTATGAAATTTAACCTAAATAGCAACTGTTGGGCTTCTCTTGAAAAGCAAGAATATTTAGGAGATGAGGCTTCCCCTTTAGATAGTGCAGGTGCTCTTAAGGGGCGAGCCTGTTCAATGCCCAAGATGCTAAAGCTCCCTTTTCAGCCTTCTGTGGCAAATCGGGATGGGATGGTTGGTCATCTTTGGTGCTTCCTATTTGGTGACAGTCCTCATAACTTTCAGCCTTCTTCACTCATCTGGGTTACTTACTTGGTCTTTTTTTTTTTTTTTAAGATTTATTTATTTATTTATACAAGCACTGGGTACAGTCAGAAGGGCGGGAGGGTGAGAGAACTCACCAGAGCCAGAGCGGGGAACAGAACAGGCAGACTGATGAAATACACTGCTGAGGGAAGCAGGGGGCTCAGCAGGAGAGGTCTGCGCGCCATGTGGGACCCTCCCCAGCGGCTGGGGATGGAACCGGTGCTGCAGAGGCTGTGGGCAGCTTTGCAGCCCAGTGCTCAACCACTGTGCCACCAGGGGAGGCCCTACTCGGTCTTTTTTGAGTGGAACTGTTAAACAATATTTTTCAGAAGAAGGGAAAATCATGACTCTTATAAGGAGATAAAAATGAACACGTGTTAAGGATCTTATTTTGCATAAAGTAAAAATGTATTTCCTTATAGTGAACAAGTCAGAAGGTATTACAGTAGCTTCAAAAGAAAATCTGGAGAGTGGAGAGTGGGAAGTGATTGTTTACTAAGTAGAGTGTTTCACTTTGGCCAGATGAAAAGGTTTTGCTGCTGGGTGGTGGTTGATGGTTGCACAATAATAGGAAGGTGTTTAACTTCATTGAACTACACACTGGAAATGTTAAAGTGGTAAATGGTATGTATATTTTACCACAATTAAAAGAAAAGAATCCAAAGATCATACTGATTTATAAATTGGCATATTGAAGCAAAACTGATTTTTCTGCAGATTGCAATGGAAGCGCATTGAAATTATAGTTCATAGACTTACTTTGTAGAACTTGTCAGTTGCCTATCAATCAATTCAAGGAATTGAAAAACAGCTCAAGGTCAATGAAAAGCTAGAGTCAGATAACTTGGTGGGCTGTGCTCTGGACAAGGCATAGATTTTCAGTGAATCACAATTTTTTTCCTACAGTCTCCCCTGCTTTGAATCAAAGTAGTCTTAAAGGAAGATTATCCTTGATCACAAAGTAAGGTTGTTCTCCTTAGATTTGATCTGATTATTTATGTTGGTGCAGCAAGAGTGTTAATTTACAATATAGGCCTTGTTATGTTTTCCGTTGCTGGAAACTTAGAGTGGACTTTTAAAAGCCTTTTATTATGTACTGTTCTGAGAACAGGAAGCCAAGCCAAGAAATTGTCTCCACTAGGTTTTACCTGCTATACTTATAAATTTGGGCAAATTCCTCTCTTCATAGTGTCCCAAAATATACTAAGTTTCCTGGACCTGCCAGGACCTTCCTTATTCTCCTGCAAGGGAACACAGTAAGCCAGTTGTCTTGAAAGAGTTTATTGGTATTGGCTGCATATAGTCAATTTAGTTCCTTAAAGAGGCTGGTTAGATCTGATTAAATGAGCATCATTGTCAAATACAGTATTCCAGGCAAGGCCTTAGTTACATAACCAATATATTTAATTAGGCCCTGGGGGGAAAAATGACAGATTCTTATTGAACTTTTGCAAACAACCAGATTGCTATGAAAAGCCAGAAGACTCACTACAAGTTTCTGAATTCTGAGGGGTCAAGCTGGGAGAATAAAGTATTTACAAATGTTTCATTACATTTGGGAGTAAATAGTAAACACAGTCTACTATGGTTGCAGGTTATAGATAGCTGTAGATAAAGGGCTTCCTTAACATATCCAGAAAACAGAACACATTAACAATATCAACACTACCTCAAATGTAAATGACAATCATCCTCATCAGTTCTTTTAGCCCTGCGTGATTCATTCTTATTCCCCTGAATTTTGGGCTGGCAATCTCATAGACCCTTCTGCTGCTTAATTGAGTTCTGGAAATCCTTCCTCGATCCACTGGTATTTTCTTAAAGTTGTCCGAGTGATGCCATCACAAGCCTGTATCTAAGAGTCAGTATGTGCTGCAGTATTTTTCGGAGACAGCTCTTGGTTGTGCAAGGTAAAAATTCTGGCCTATGACTGATTGCAGAGTTTTTAGGAAGCACAGAGTAAAACAAAAACTGCCTGCAGGTGACAAAGACCTGAAAAGCTTCTGACTAACTTGTTACTGATAAATTTCCAAAGTGAATGCTCTGATGAGAATTCATGACAAGAATAAGGCAGCTAACAAGGAAATCTGGCCATTCCTAAGGTACGCTAGACAAAATAAAACCAAGCCAAAAAAAAAAAAAAAAAAAAGAAATTTAAACAGTGTTTAAAAATATCATGAGGCTAATGTCAAAGAAGAATGTGAATATTGTATCTGCTTGGTAATAATAACTTTTATAGAGGAAAAATATTTTGAGATATATAAAAATCTTAAGATTTAATTTATAGAATATACCATGGATGGCTAAGAAAATCAACTAAAGAGGTTCAATAAGTCTGGAATACATCCTTGCCATCTATATTTTAATAAAACACCATAGGAAAGTCTAATGTACATTCCCAGTTGAAAATTACAGGCCTAGAAGATGCTAGACTCAAATGAAACCCAGGTAACATTTAAAATAATAACTAAATTCATGACTGACCACATATCTTTACCATCAGACAAAACACCCCCAGGATGCTGATAAATAGAAGCAGATGGTGGACCAAGAGGGTATGGAGAAATATGTAGGAATTTCTCATATACATACAATTTCCAAAATATGTATATAAATAATAACTTGTTACCTTCATAAAGTTAATTGGAAACAGCTGAGAGTATTTCTTGATGTCACAATTTTTCTCATGAAACCTGTTTATAACAATGTATCAAGTAAACCTGACTATTTCTAGTAACTGTCCTTTAAAAGGTAAAAGAACAAATTTTTCTAATTTTCCAGGAGCCCTCTGGGAGACCCTAAAGATGGTTTTACAAAAGATATCTTGAAAGCTTTATTTTGTTTTGCATTTAAGATTTGATTTGGGGAAGGCAAAAATCAAAGTGCTTAGGTTTGAATGCTTATCCTGAGTGTCTGAGAAACATGTCTACTCATCTGAAATAGAAAGTGACAATATTACTTTTAAAAATAAACATAGAAGGTAACAGTGTAAAGAAACTGAGTTTTTTCCTAAGTGGGAAATCTTTACTGCAAAAAGTATAGAAAATTCTTATGGTAAGACACAGTATATCTTTAGGCAAGACACAATGGTGGTGAAAGAATATTTTTATCTTAACCTCAGACCAATAAGTAATATTCGAGAAATTTTTCTCATTTCAACAGAGAGAAAACCAAATTCTACTTTTGGATTGATATAATATTGGATACAAAAGGAATAATTACCTCTTTTTGAAAATAATATGGATAACATAAAAACTGAGCCAACTGTAACAGAGTTTTAACATACTCAGTTGATTCTTTTCAGACTCATTATTTGCACACACATAATCCAAGGCAAGCGAGACTCCTCCATCAACCTACGAATTTATGCATTCAGGTTTTGTCCTTCACGGTCCTCATTGTTATTCTGGAACAATCTTATTGTGGAGCCACATTTATCTTAGGACAAAACTTCTTAATTAATTATACCCTTAGCCAAAGTAACATATTTCAAAGAACATGCCCTCCCCCTTCTCCAAGACGGTAGCCCTCTGTCAACAGCCTGTCACACGCCACCATTTTAGTTAGAAGAACTTGCTTGCCCTATTCTTAAAGCAGGAGTCCCAATGTTGTATTGCCCAACATCATCAAGACTTCAGACAGATGTGACTGAAGTCCTCTCACCACTGTAGTTTCTCTTGAGCCTCCCTTTCTTCATGGTTAAGTCAGTTGGGTTCTTTGAGGATCACTTTTGACCTTTGTGGCTGGATGGAGGGTGCTCAGTAAGTGTCCTTAGGATTCTTTCCTGATGAGTAAAGACTTGGGCTCCCGCATACTAAATACTAATGTAGTTCCTACTGTAGGTACATTATTATGTTGAGCTCAGAGGCTTAGAGAGATAATTGAGACCTGGTCCCTTTCTGGAACTAGGGATCAGCTAAGAGGGTGTGCATTTTTTATTTCCCCACTTACTGCTTCCACATGTCCCCAAGGAGGGTGTGTAAGCAAAAGTAAAGAAAGTAGACCTTGCTAGACCTTCCTGGAGCAGCTCGCTGGGTGGAGGGTGGTTTGGTCTTAAGCTCTGGATTCCTGCTCTATGGAATGTAATAGTAACCCCGCCTCCTACGACAGTTGTGAATATTAACTGAGTGGCAGCATATAGC